ATTTTAATTAAAAAATAATAAAAAATAATTTAAATTCATAAAAAATGAGTAATTGTTCAATTACTTATAATTTTAACAAATTAATCCTAAAATAAAAAAAACAAATAATGTTTTTGTGACAAGTACAGTTAGATATTGAAATGGACTCACGTATATCAGGATAATAATAATAATGATAATAATAATATTAATGATATTAAAATGTTAATTAAAATGTAAGGGTTTAATTAATTAATGAACTTAAAATTAATGATAAAAAATTAAAACAAAACAAATGTAAAAAAAACAAAAAAAAAACAAAATTATTGTTGTTCATTACTGACTGACAATAAAATTAATAACTTAAACAATAATAGTAATTAATAATATTAATGTTATTAAAATGAGTAAAAAATAAGGGTACAAATTGTATGTGTGTATATATATAAAAAGGTATTTTAAAACAGGTCTATACAATGAATTATAGGCCTATGATTAAAACATTAACACTTCAGTCATCAATAAAAATCAATGAAATAAAAATATTTTTTTTCAAGCACCGACTTTCAAAAACACGAAACACGTTTCTTCTCATTTTTTTTTTACTATGTATGGGCCACAAGATAAATATTAAGGGAATAAATGAAGACAGCTATATACCGTTATCATCATATGTTGAAGTAGATTCATCTCGTCGTCTCTGAGAGAATATGCGGCGTCAGATGCAGAAAGCTCCGTCATTCCATTTTTACTTTCACTTTCTGTATAGTGAATTGACTGAGATTAAGAAGTTCATCGGCGTAACTCTTGCGCAAAGTTTGCACATTGCTTGTGTGTGATATCCATTGGCTTGCCTTCATGGTTTAAAACAGAAATATTTCCAACACTGCGACGTAACCAATTACCCCCGTACTGAACGTACCGAACCGAACCGTGACACCACTGTGTCTTATCGAACCGTTACACCCCTAATAAATATATATATATTAGGGCTGGGTTTTGACACAAATTTCACGATTCGATTCTCATTCACAAGCTTGAGGTTTGATTCGATTCAATATCGATTATTTTGGATATATCATGCCAAATTTTCTCAAGGAAAAAAATCTCTCAACTAATGTAAAATATACATGAGAGTCAGTTGGTACTATATTACTATAATATTGAAGGTTAAAATGGACTGATTTGTTAAAATTATACTTAATGAAGTTTTTTTTAAATAATACAGTTACAATTACATAATATTTCTACTTAAATTCGTTTTTTTTTTATATATAAACAATGGTGGCTGTCATAAAAACTGGATTTATTGAATTTATTCAAACATAAATTAAACATTGAAGAACAGTAAAATTTATAATGAATATGCGGATGTTTAGTCATGTTGATTTTGTGCTGAAACTGGTATTAATGTGGAGGAGATGATCAGTTGACTTGCGCCTCGCGCTGCTGCGTCTGTTGAACTGAGGCGCTATAATACTGCAATACAATGGACATAATTTGAAATCTGAGACTTTGTTTCATATTAAAAGTACCAAAGCACAATGTTTATTGCGATTTATTGGATGGGAGGTGCCCTTCAACGATCCGTCCATTAACTGAAAACAGGCTAGACTAATTGATTCTTGGGATTTAAGAATCGATATCGTTCCGTAAAAATGAGAATCGATTAATATCGAGATATCAATTTTTTTTACCCAGCCCTAATATATATATATATATATATAAATAAATAAATATATATATATATATGATGGGTTTATCACAGAAAAGGAAAGGAAAAGATGCAAATAAGGTTTCATGGTCCAAATGTAAAAACAATAATCAAATAAATGAAGTACCTTCCATTTGTAAAGTGTTTTATTCACTTGATTATTTAAATAAAAGGCATTACTACATGGTTTTATTTTGTTGTTTCATTGATTTTCAGCAAAACTGACTATATCTTGTGATATTGAGAGGATTTCTGTCAAACCGCCCACCCCTAACATCAAGCTCGGCGTAATGCATGACATTAACATGTTTAACAGAATGTAATCCGCAGCATGCTAGCAGATCTCATTACAGTCAGAGACATAATTGCAGCTGGAACGAGAGCGATCATGTGCTGGCACTGTACTCGGTGTGTACTGTAATGGACGAATGAAAGCCTGAGGAAAAAAAAAAGTGTTTTAGCATGGAAGCTTGTGAAACCAGCATTCACACTCCATCTAACACTCAGTGTGTGACAGGTGTCCGTTCCTTTGAAATCCATGCAATATATCTGAGATTAAATTCTGCCTTCATAATTCAAACATCATGAGACATAAATTTAGTTTGGTAAATTTGAATGAATACTTTAATATTTAACATTAATATTATTAATTAAATGTACAATTAAAATTCATTATTATTTCAGTATGATATTTTTTAGATTTGACATTTCCTATTATTATTAACAACGATCATTATTTACAATAATAATAATAATTTTATATTTATGACAATTTTGTATTATAATTGTATTTTATTTTAGTTTACATGTATTACTGATAACAACAACAATAAGGTTCAGGATGATTTAATTTTCATTTTTAGATGAACTAACCCTTTACGTTTCTTCTCTGAGAACCAAACGAAGAAACCGCTAATGCAAATGACTTGTGAAGAGTCGTGTACATACACAGCAGGAGAATCAACAGAAGGGCCTGGACTGATTTCCAAGTGTCCTGAAGTGGATTATTTCATTAATCAAAACAAAGCTCTTGCGTAATTGGAGAGGTTGAGAGCAAATGTTCAGAGGAAATCAAGATCTCATGCAGCGAAAGACACAAAACCACATCAGAAACACCGACGAGAGGCCACAACGGTTCACTGGACGAACTCCATCTATACGCCTGCATTTATTACAACAGCTCCTCCTAAACAACAAAGAGATTACACGAAGAGCAAACAGAGACTTTTCCTTTTCCAACCCAAACTACAACAGAAACATAATAAATGAGAGTGACGCTTCAATCACTGAAATCAGCTGTCAACAAGTGCCAGCTAAACTCCAATGTGACAGATCGCCCCTGCTGATCGATTCTTTCATTATCAGGATTTCATTTCTTCTTCTCCTCCTCCCTGCCATTATAAAGTGGTCCTGTTTCTAAAAGGTGCCGAGGGAAAACAACACAATCTCTCTCAGGAAAATCACTACTGTCGGGAAGTACTACGACTACTACTATTAATAAATGAAATTAAAAATACCACATTAAAATAAAAAATAAATTAAATTTTAGCAATATTATTAGTTAAATATTAGCTCAAATACTAATTCAATAAAATAATATTAATATTAAATGATATTAGATATTAAAGTTAAAATGAAGGGTCTCTTTTTAACCATCATAATTTCATTTTCCTCTTTTCTTTCTCCCTGTCGGGAACTTGAAAAAGAAACATTAATAAAATAATAATAAATAAAACTAACAATACTACACTAAATTAAAATGAATAAAAGAAATGTAAAAATATTATTCAAATGATTGCTGTTGAAATATTAATTAAATATTAAAGAGCATTAATATTAAATGATATTAAATAATATAATAAATATTAGTTCATTTTAAATGAAGGGTTAAATGTTAATAATTATTTTTAACAAATTATTTATACTTTAACAAATCAAATCAAATAAAATGCAAGAAAAACATAATAATGTTAAAATTAATTTAATAAATTAATAAATTTAATAATTGTCTAGACAATAATTGTAATAGACAAATTAATAAATGTCTCTACAACGTTGTAATTACAAGTGGAAAACATACAAAGTCTGTCATTGGTTGGCAAAACAGATAGCCCCACCCCAAACTTGCGCCATTGGATGATCTTTATTTCAAAATTTGTTAATTCACTTTTCATGTACTGTTGATGAAGCAATAAACCTGGCGGAAAATACAAATGTAGCACAACTATATATATAGAACTATATTTCCCATCATTCTCTGGGGCAACACACACCTAACACACATCCTTTGCTCTTCCATTGTTTTGCACCAGCATTAAAAAAAAAAGGTTCCTGTGCTTGCTGACATGTGAAATATAACCTTTTTAGGCCAAAATCAGTTCTGAAAACTTCCCATGAGGACTTAAATCCACTTCATCTGCACTGGAATCCGATCAGTAATTAACGGCGTGTCCCGTTCAGCGAGTTCAAGTCTCTGTTTGCAAACTAAACCTCCATAATTTAAGATTATTAAATGACATCCAGCGTTCTGCACACATAATTCGTGTCTCTGTCGAGAGGTGCTAATGCAACACAGCGCACATGAAAATGAAAAGCATGCACACGTTTTTAATAAAGCGGCACAGTTAATTAAACATTCAGCAGCGAGATCTCTACGCTGGAGACTCGCACCCGCGCCAGGTGCGAAACAGATCTCGCACCAGCCATCCAATCAATGCGGCATCATTTACGCCTCCGCTTGACGTGTGAGAACATGTGTTCAAGCCTTCATTCAGTGTGTGGAAACGCGAGTACGAATGCATGCGTGTGAAGCCTGAGATGGAGAGACGAGCTACAGAAAAACAACACAAAACAAAAATAGACTAAACTGTGCTGTAAAAACCGTCCAGAATGTCTTAGCAACATGCATACTGTAGTAACACAACCTCTCACAACACCCTCACAACGGGTTAGCAGCAGAAAATGTGAATATGTGGATCTCACGCTTATGACACGCTGTAAAACAATCATAATAACATTAAAGCCACAAAGCGTTTGGACTCATCCCCAGAAAACATCACTGACGGACTGCCACGACCCATCCTGTGATAAAGATTGCGGTGTTTAATTCCTGTCAAAAGATCAATCGGTGAGACTTGGCAAGTCTTTAGCCCATCACCGAACTAGAATAAACACTAGAGTTCTGAGGGATTTGGCTCTGGAGCCAGACTGAGCTTTCCCGCACACGTTTAATGAAGTTTCTTCATTTAAGACGAGTATTTCTGCATAAACACACACAGAAATGCAAATATATGGAGAGGGAGTTTACCTAAATCCAGTATGATCAGCTGAGCGCTCGCCTGGACGTTCCCGGCGTCGTTCTCCGCTAAACACTGATAAAAACCTTCATCAGATTTTACTAAACCCAAAACCTGCAGGTTATGCTGTTTCTGTGGGGACACAAACAACAAAACAGAGCATTGCGTAAGAATTAACAACACTAACACTCTTATTATTGTGACAAAACAAGACAGCTAAATATGACAAGTTTGCAGGATAAAGATTCATGGGATTTAAAACTGTATCTATACAGTTAAAAGTGTAAGTAACAGGACTGAAAAACATCAATCAATCAATTAATCAATCAAATCATTACTTAAAAATGATTTCATACAGTTATATTTGATTTCATACAGTTATACATGTCAGTAATAGGACTGAAAAATTGCAAAAAAAAAAAAAAAGGCCCCATCCACACGGAGACGCGTTTAGCTGTATACGCATACATTTTGTATCGTATAGGCGTTTCGTACACACGGATCCGGCGTTTTGGGAGAGTGAAACCGATATTTTTTGAAACCGGGTCCCAGGATGGATAAATCTGAAAACGCTGCACTTGCGTTTTCGTGTGGACAGCGAATCCGTATATTTTCTGAAACGATGACGTCATCATTAACTAACATTAACACAGATTAATAAATGTATTGTTCCATGTTCGTTTGTATACCGCGCACAAGGTTTATGCGCATGCATAGTCCAAGTCTTCTTCTCCGTTTTTAGTGTATCTGGCAGAATTACAGTGCCACATATTGGTCTGGCATGTATACTACATTGTTTTGTGTCGGTTTTGTGGTTTCGTGTGGACGCAGATATTTCTTGAGACGAGGGGAAAAAAAGATTGGATAGGGAAAGCTCTGGCTCCGTGTGGACGTAGCCTAAAAATCACTACTTAAAACTGTATTCAACTAGTTAAAAGTGTAAGTAACAGGACTGAAAAACATCAATCGATCAATCAATAAAATCATTACTTAAAACTGTATTCATACAGTCAAATGCATCAGTAACAGGACTGAAAATTAGCAACAACAAAAAAACTAATTAAAATCAGGATTCATGCAGTTAAAAGTGTTGGTAACAGGACTGACAATTGCAAAAAATAAAATATGAAATAACTAAAAATCATTACTTTAAATTGTATTCATACAGGTAAAAGTGTAAGTAACAGTACTGAAAAATCAATCAATCAATCAATCAAAATCATTACTTAAAACTGTATTCATACAGTTAAACATAACGACTGAAAAATAGCAAAAAAAAACAAAAACTAATTAAAATCAGGATTTAAAACTGTGTTCATACAGTTAAAATTGTTGGTAACAGGACTGAAAAACTGCAAAAAAATAAAATATAAAAACTAAAAATTAGGGATGCACCGAATTTTCACTGAAAGAGAAAAATGGCCGAAAATATAGGCTACATATAATAATAATATATATGCCGCCCAGCAGTGTTCAGTGTGCAGGTTTCACTCTCCTCATCACTGCGTGGTTTGACGCTCCTCTCAATATTCCAATCTATGAATGTGCATTCCGCTCGTGTACCGCTCATGCTCACCGGAAAAGCAAAGTCCGCTCAAATAACACGTTGACAGGAAATTTCTATGCAGTATACTTGTTCCGGTTTGCAGCAGCGCTACTGTGCTGTAACATGGTGTAGGCTAGTTCAGCTGTACTGGGCAACGCTGGTAAAATAATGCTACCTTCAGTGACGCTATGCTCTGCTCATATGCTCTGATAATAATAGCTTTGTAGGACTATACATTATTTGGATAATTAGTCCAAAAAACGACAACATCAACTTATATCTGATTCTGTTACATAGAAGTGAATAAAAATATATAATATAATATATAATATATATTGATATTTAATATTTAATATTAAGGTAACACTTTACAATAAGGTTCCATTAGTTAATGTAAGTTAATGTATTAACTAACATGAACGAACAATGAACAATACATTTATTACAGTATTTATTAATCTTTCTTAATGTTAGTTAATGAGAATACAGTTATTCACTGTTAGTTCATGTTAATTCAGAGTGCATTAACTGTTAACAAGCACAACTGTTGATTTTAATAATGCATTAGTAAATGTTGAAATTAACATGAACTAAGATTAATAAATGCTGAGGAACTATTGCGGCCCAGAATTTTCATTTCGGTGCATCCCTACTAAAAATCATTACTTTAAACTGTATTCATACAGGTAAAAGTGTCAGTAACAGGACTGAAAAATGGCAAAGAATAAAACAAGTAAAATAGAAAATATTTTTACAATAATCCAGATTTAAAACTGTAAAATGAAAAAAAAAAAAAGAAATAAAATACAATAAAATAAAGGATTAAAAATGGTTGGTAACAAGATTACACAGCTGCAAAAATGTCAAAAAACAACAACAAAACAAAACAAAAACAATCAAATATCATCCAGATTTTAAGCACTTTATTTCACTGACCACTTTGTTTTAAAAAAAGATTCATCAGTAAATAAAAAACAAATACATTTAAAAAGAGGAAAGAACGGTTTAAATGGTTTACTGTATATAATCACGGATAAACGTGTATCATCAAGGGGGTCTAACGTACCACTATCCTGAAATAATCACTGGGAATGACCGTGTCTCCATCCTTCATCCATTTGACGGTAGGCGGCGGTGAGCCGGTGACGTCACACTCAAAGATGATGTCCATGGACTCCTGGGCGTAAGTGTTGGAGGGTCTCGTCAAGAACCGTGGAGGAACTAGAAGAAGAAAATGAATAAATGCAGGTATGAACTACAGAGGAGGTCACAGGGTGCATTACGCAATAAAAGTGCAACATCCCATCGCTGGGATTCGTGTGACAGACGTGGCTGTGCTGGGACAGGTAGCGGCAGGTAAAGTGAGTTTCCTCTAAACCTCCTTCGCAGTTCCTATAGCAATCGCATCCATCAGGGAACAAGCTAGTTTGCATCCTCTCCTGATGTTTGTAAGTTGTGCAGGTAATGGAGGACATGGAGAACAAGAATACAGTCGCTAAATATAACAAGAGTTTCAGATTCAGAGGTGGTTTTCTTATCAGCGGCTGGCAAAAGTGCGTCAAGGATGACTGATTCTGTATTTTTCACGCCCAGCTTCACCTTCTAAAATCAACAAGAGACAAAGAAAATCAACAGCGCTCCATCTACTGTCAGTTGGAGGGGAGAAACAGAGGAAGATTCGTTTCCTTGAACTCTGCTACGCTAACAATCTCTGGCAGTCACTGTTTGTGGTGCGATCTCAATTCTCTAAAGCACAAAATCACACGGTTGTTCCTCTCCAGCATCAGCCTTGGTGAATTATGCTGTTTTCAGACTTGGTTTTGTTGTTTGGATGAACTTGAGTTCGATCTTCTGACCCTCAGACTCCTGCAGGACTGGTCTCACACCGGCTGTGTTCTCAATGGAATACTTGTTTACTTCGCAGCACATACTGTATGCCATCTAATGCTTTTAAAAACAAGTAGTAGGCCTATGTGAAAAAATATACCAATAACATTAATATGCTACGTCAATGGTCTCAAACTCAATTCCTGGAGGGCCACAGCTCTGCACAGTTTAGCTCCAAGCCTAATCAAGCACACCTGATCCAGCTAATCAATCTCTTCAGGATTACTAGAGACTTCTGAGCAGGTGTGAGTTGGAGCTAAACTCTGCACAGCTGTGGCCCTCCAGGAATTGAGTTTGAGACCACCGTGCTATATTGTCACGTGACCTCATTCTCCATATTTAATTCAGCAACTGCAGATGACTGAAGTGTGCAGGATTGACACAAGCACTAAACTGAAACATATAGAACTGAAGTATACACTAAAATATGCACAACCTTTCTTGTTCTGATTTTCATAATTCTGAGATTTGAATATAATATATTTAAACATATGTTGAATAAAAGAATCGATTTCTTACATTTCTTACATTATATATATATATATATATATATATATATATTAAAGCAATAAGCCCCAAGAAGCCGTGGTTTACAGTGAATTTATAGCGCCCCTTAGCTGTTATAAGTTCACTGTAAACCACGGCTTCACGGGGCTTATTGCTTTTATAAAACAGTTATTCCATATATGTAGTAAGGTTCACTAAATAAAACAGAGCAAATAAAGTGTAATGATATTAATAAAAACAGTATTCTTCCACCAAACAATGTAGTTCCT